GTCAGGGGTGATCAGACCCTGACTCAGTGGACAATACAAACCTTCTACCCATTCACAAATAACCAGCTTTAGCCAAAAAGTAAACAGCCAGCATTTACATTTATGAACACACTTTAAACACACTCTTACTTTCAAGAAAATATACATACAACAAAGTACAAGAGTCCTTTTGTAATAAAAACTAAGAGCAGGCAAATTAAAACATGTCTAGCAATCAATGTTTCAGTATTTTACATTATTTAAAAATACTTAGATGTTTATCATTTAACCTAGCAATGCTCCAAAGCCTTTAAGTTACCAAAGACTTCAGAAAATTATGTGTAGGCATATGAGGCTAGAGAAAAGGCTGGGAGAGGAGGCAGCAGCCCCAGCTAGAAATCCAGGCCTCTAGCTGCTTGGATTCAAAACTGACATTTTTCCTTGCTAAGGTTTGGGTGATAATGAGCTCAGTTTCTGATAATAGTCAGACTGTTTTAGTAACAAAACTATCCTTTGGGAGGGGGGATGGTAAGAAGGTGCTGAGGTGAGAGCAGTTTTTAGAGCATTAAAGAGGGTGAGAATGTTGGTCTTGTTATCTAAAGGCTCAGTGAGGGGGTCTCTTCACCATGTCATGTCATAGAGGAGCTTTGCAAGAAAACTAAAGTTGTGAACCTGAAGGTGAGAGTACCCAGAAAGAAGAAAATTTCTTGTTCAGAGGAGGGGACAGTCATGGAGGAGATAAGGAGATAAGGCATTTACAGTCCAAGGAATGGCTCAGCCTTGTGGGGTGAGAGAGTGAAACTGAGGTAGGTAACTGTGGTTTGGGACAACTGGGCTTTATGAGGGAATGTATGGTAGCCCTGGCTGGGCAGCGAACTAGAATGAGAAAAGAGTGAATGGGGGTATTTGGTAAGATGCAGTGTAGAGGTGAGGTGGCTAATGGCTGTGAGGCTAACCTGTCAGCCCCCATAATAGAGACTGAGGAGTGGACAAGGGTCCCAGTGAATTCAGAGAGGACAGAATAAGTGGCCCCAGTGTCAATAAAAAGGAGATTGCTTTACCTACCACCACAGTCATTACCTGAGGCTCTGTCCTGGTGATGTAAGTCTGTGGGGCCCTGTCGGGACCTGGGTAGCTTCTTTGGTGGCCAGTCCCAGAAGGTATGGGAGCTCCAAAACAGATGCAGAGGATGGCCTTGCTGGACTGAGGTCTGACCTGAGGGGCCAGACTGCAATCTGATTTCCAGTAGCCTTCCCTTACACACCTTGGGCAGGGCCCAGGCGAGGGTCTCTCTTCAGTCCCAAGCTGGTGTGGGATGGAGGGTCAGCAATGGAGAAAGAAATATTCCCAATCTGGCATCTTACTTGGCTGCCTGGGGAGGGGGGAACCCTTGTAAGAGAGGGAGGACACTGAGCAGGACTTGGCTCAGTATCTTCCTTGTTGCATTTGAAACATGGGCCCGGAGGAGGCTTAGCCCCTCACTTACCCTCTGTTGGAGGACCGGAACTTCATTTGGGGTTCATGAGAGGGGGGATCCCTGTTAGGGAAGAAGGCCTGATCTAGGCAGGCAATTGAGTCATTCAAGTAGGATTCTCAGGTAAACCCAGGTCAAGATGCCACTGCCTATGGCTCTCAGAGTAGGAAACTCAGGGTGACTGAAGCCAGGAAGATGGCTCCCCATCCCCATGGAATCCTCCCGGGTTTTCCGCACCAAATGTTAGGTCCCCAAAGGAGGATCACATGAGGCCAGAATGATCATAAATTTATTTGATCATCCGCACATCAGGTGGCTGAGCCTGGATGGCTCCAGCATCCCAGTGATGGGAGTCAGCGGTTTTTAGGTTTTTAAAGGACTTTTGGCAGGTTTTTTTCTGGGCTGAGAATTCTCTGTGCAGGTCTGGATTCTGGGAAGTCCGGAGGGCAGAGATAATGGTCTTAGCAAGTGGAAAGTGGTCTAAGCAAGTGGAATGTGCATTGTGAAGTGGCCTAATGGTGGTCTGCTGGGTCAAAAGTAGATTCAGAATTAGAAGTGTTATGGGTATGATTTTTGTGTGAAGGTCAGTTCCCAGGGTAGGGGGCATTGATTCAATTATTTGATCAGAGCTAACATATATTATTTCAAATTAGTATTTCGGGTTTCTTAGTATAAATACCCAGAAGTGGAATTGCTGAGGCAATTCCATTTATTTTAAGGCAATTCCATTTTATTTATTTATTTATGTTTTTTTTGAGAAAATTCAACATGGTTTTCAATACTGGCTGCACCAATCTGCATTCTCACCTCCAGTGCACAAAGGTTCCCTTTTCTTCACATCTCTGCCAAAACTTGCTTGTTGATTTGTTAATGATAGCTGTTGTCAGAAGGTTATATCTCATTGTGGTTTTTGGATTTCTCTGACGATTAGTGGCATTAAACATTTTTTCAAATGTCTATTGGCCATTAGTATGTCCTCTATGGAGAAGGGTCTATTCAATTCCTCTGCTCACTATCTAATTGGATTGTTGTTGTTTTTTGGTACTGAGTTGCATGAGCTCTTTATGCCTGTTATCAATTGTATCATTGGCAAATATAATTTCCCATTCAGTAGGTTGTCTTCCTGTTGATGGTTTCCTTTGCTGTGCAAAAAATTTTAGATCGAAGTAGTCCCATTTCTTTATTTTTTATTTTGTTTCCCTTCCTGAGAAGCTATATCAGAAAATGTATTGCTTAGAGAAATGTGAGATATTTTACTGCCTATGTTTCTTTCTAGGGGTTTAGGGGTTTCTAGGTTTAAGACTTATATTTAAGTGTTTAATCCACTTTGAGTTTATTCTTTTATATGGTGTAAGGAGGTGGTCTAGTATTTTTTTTTTTTTTGCTTGATTTAAATCTGTCCAGATTTCCCAGCACCATTTATTGAGCAGACTGACTTTACTCCATTATACATTCTCACATCCTTTGTTAAATATTGAGTACACAGACAAGAGTTTGTTTCTAGGCTCACTATTCTGTTCCATTGATCAACATGTCTGTTTTATGCAAGTACTACCGTGTTTCCCCAAAAATAAGACATCCTCCGAAAATAAGACCTACTTACAGGTTTCCTTCTGAGTGAAATATAAGGCATCCCCCGAAAATAAGGCCCCCCCTAGGTTAAACATGAGAGATTTGGTCCACTGATTCTGAAAGAAATGGAGTCACAAGAAATTCACTAGGAAATTCAGGAATTGGATTGTTATGATGATGTTCCAGAAGATGATGACATAATTGTCATTGAATAAATGAGTAAATTCTTGATACTGTAGGATTCACAGTTTGTGTGGTTTGTGTTGACAACTACCATACTACCGTACCGTATACAGGTAATAAATTTCCTTTATTTTCATTTGACAATAAATGTGTACCGTATTCTTCTTCATGGAAAAATAAGACATCCCCTGAAAATAAGACCTAGCGCATCTTTGGGAGCAAAAATTAATACAAGGCACTGTCTTATTTTCGGGGAAACAGGGTATTCCATTTTGATTACTATAGAAGTCTAGTACTAAAGTTTGATATTGGGTATCATGTTACCTCCAATGCTCAAATTTTTTGTGGCTATTCAGGGTATTTTGTGGTTCTATATAAATTTTAGAATTACTTGTTCTATTTCTGTGAAAATGTAATTGTATTTAATAGAAGTTACATTGAATCTATAGATTTCTTAGGGTATTATAAACATTTTAATGATGCTAAGTATTCTTATCTATGAGCACCATATACTATGCTTATATTTATTTGATTCTACTTTTTAAAAAAAATCTTCACCAGAGAATGTTTCCCATTGATTTTTAGTGAGAGTAGAAGAGAGAGGGAAAGACAGAGAGAAATATCGATATGAGAGAAACACATCAATTGGTTGCTCCTTGCACATGCGCTGACCAGAGCTTAGGCCAGGGAGGAGCCTGCAACCTAGGCACATGCCCTTGACCAGAATCCAACACCCATTTGTGATAAAAATTCTCAGCAAAGTGGGAAGAGAGGGATCATACCTCAACATAATAAAAGCCATATATGACAAACATCCAACCAATATCATAACATACTCAATAAGCAAAATTAAAACTATTTTCCTTAAGAAAAGGAACAAGACAAGATTGTCACTTTCACCAATTTTATTCAACATAGTAGTGGAAGTCCTAGCCACAGTGATCAGACAGTAAGAAAAATAAAAAGCATCTAAATTGGAAAGGAGGAAATAAAACTGTCATTATTCACAGATGAAATAATATTGTAAATAGAAAACCCTAAAGACTTCACCAAAAAACTACTAGATTTTATAAATGAATTCAGCAAGGTATTAGGATATAAAATTAGCACCAGGAATCATTAGCATTTTTATACACCAATAATGAGTTCTCAGAAAGAGAAACTAAAAAAAATCCCTCTTACCATTGCAACCAAAGAAAGTAAAGATACTTAAGAATAAACTTAATCAAGGAGGTACAAGACCTGCACTCAGAAAACTATAGGATGTTGAAAAAAGAGATAGAAGAAGATATAAACAAGTGGAGGAATACTGTATACTGTGTTCACGAATTAGTAGAATCAACATCATTAAAATGTCCATACTACCCAAAGCAATCTATAGATTCAATACAATCCCCATGAAAATACCAATGGCCTATTTTACAGATTTTGAGAAAATATTCCAAAAAGTTATATGAAACCAAAAAAAGATCCAAAATAGCTGCAAAAATCTTGAGAAAGAAAAACAACATTGGAGGGGTCATGATACTGGATATTGAGTTATACTACAAAGCCATTGCAATTAAAACAACCCGGTACTGGCACAAGAACTGGCATATAGATCAATAGAACAGAACAGAGAACCCAAAAATTGACCCAAGCCATTATGCTCAATTAATATTTGAAAAAGGAGGCAAGAGCATGCAATGGAGTAAAGACAGTCTCTTCAATAAATGGTCTTGGGGAAATTGGACAGAAACGTGCAAAAAAAATGAAGCTAGACCACCAACATACACTATACACTAGAATGAACTCAAAATGGATAAAAGCCTAAATTTAAGTCATGAAACCATATAAATCCTAGAAGAAAACCTAAGTGAAAAAATAACAGACATCTGATGGAGCGTAATTTTCACTGTTATGGTGTCTAGGACAAGAGAGACAAAGGGGGAAAATAAACAGATGGGACTACATCAAAATAAAAAGCTATTGCACAGCAATTAAAAAAAAATTGAGGTGGCTGCTGACCGTGGATCTGGTCTCCTTCATTTTCCTTATCTTCTTCACTGTTGTCCTCTGTAGGCTGTCTTTGGAGAGGACAGCCCTTGCAGAACCATAGTCTATAGCTCTGATACATATTTTGTATCACTGGTCTACCTTGTTCTCCTGCATCTTGGTTGTCAGCACCTTCCATCATTTCTCCCTGCACAGGAGTGTTGGAATACTGTGGTCGAGGCTCATAGGGTCTCTGCATGTAATAAGTTGGGAACCTTTGCCTGCCATAGGGCTGGTACTGATGGGCCTGGCCTTTGGGAACATGCTCTGATTTTTTATTATTTCCCCAACTCTCTTCTGGTAACCCTGCTGGTAATTGCATGGAGGATCCCTGCGATGTGGATAGCATCTAGTATAATGGCTACAGTATGCTGCATATTTATGGCCTTGCACTGGAACTCCACCAAGGCCTGTAACATTTGCTGCCTCTGCACCCTTTTCTCCTTCAACAACATCAAACTCCACAGTCTCTCCATCTCCAATACACCTATGGTTGGCAAACTCATTAGTTAGCAGAGCCAAATATCAACAGTACAATGATTGAAATTTTTTTTTTGAGAGCCAAATTTTTTAAACTTAAACTTCTTCTAACACCACTTCTTCAAAATAGATTCGCCCAGGCCGTGGTATTTTGAGGAAGAGCCACACTCACGGGGCCAAAGAGATGCATGTGGATTGCGAGCCGCAGTTTGCCGACCATGGTCCTATACTGTCAAGGTGCTTCCTGGGGTTATTCTTCCTTATTGCAGACTGGTGTACAAATGCATCTTTTTTGGTTTCATCCCTGTTAATGAAACCATATCTGTTTCTTACACTGAACCATTTTACTGTTCCAAAAACCTTTGTTGCAATGACCTTCTTGTCCCCACCGGCAGTCTCCACCAATATGAGACATCCTGGCTGCCTGTGGTGCAGGGCTTGGTGTCTGCAGCACCAAGGGTGGGGGCTCTAGGAGGCAGCATCTGGGTCTGGGCTTCGCTGCTCAAGATTGTGGAGATAGTGACTGGGGCCAGCTTTGGCAGCTGCAGTTCCTTCCAGGGTGTAATGGTAACTAGGAGGGTGGTGACTGTGATGGGGCTGCTCAGAGCTCTCTGGAGTCCACTTTCCGCTCCTGCTACAGATCGAACTCTTACTTCTCTGTTTTAAATTTTAACTGTGGTAAAATTCACATAACACACAAGTTACCATCTTAACTATTTTAAGTGTATAGTTCAATTACATTAAGTAAATTTATATTGTTGTGCAACCATCACTACTGCCCATCTCCAGAACTTTTCCATATTGTAAAACTGAAAGTCTGTACCCTTTAAATAGCAACTTGCCATTTCCCCTCCTCGGCCCATGGAAACTACTATTCTATGTTTTTAAAAGTTATTTTAAAGAGAGGGGAAGGGGGAGGGATAGAGAGATAGAAGCCCCCATGAGAGAGAAACATCGATTGACTGCCTCCTGCACACCCCCCACCAGGGATCCAACCCTCAACCTGGGCATGTGCCCTCACAGGGAACTGAACGAGTGACTTCTTGGTTATGGGTCCACACTCAGCCACTGAGCCATACCAGCCGGGCCTATATTGTTTTTATAAGTTTGACTACTCTAGATATCTCACATAATTGAACATATACAGTATTTGTCTTTTTATGATTGGCTTAGTTTACTTAGCATAATGTCCTTAAACTTCTTACATATTGTAGTGTGCATCAGAATGTCCTTCCTTTTTAATGCTGAATAATATTTCATTATATATAAATATACCACATTTTGTGATGGCACATTTAAAATTCCAATCATTGCAAATAATGGAGCTCGAGTCTTCATATCTTTTGACCCTGGTTGCCAATACAATCTCAAAAAATAAAGTAGTGCTTTCTCACTTAGAGATGGTTAAAAATGGGCTCCACATTAGGGAGGATAAATAAATCATTGTGCTATATTGCAAATTAGAGGAGAAGATGAGGTTTCCAAACAGATCTAGTATTGGAGAATACTATTTGATGAGACTACCTTGTTACTTGAACAGAAAGTGTACAGTTAATCAGGCTTCTTCTTGCTTAGGAATGATACCAATAACTGATTGGGAAGGATGTCCTTCTTGACAGAAGTGCACACAGTTCAAGAAGTGTGCAAGGATGAAATACTTGGGTCAGCTATGTCAGCCAACTCAATCCTGCTGATAAATGGAGAGCTACTAGTAATTATACAGCAAGATTATCTTTACAATCTTTTGGGTTCTAGGCATAATTTCACCTTTGGCATGAATCATGCCATTTCAAAGTTCATGCCCTTTGCCACTGTCATTTCTAACTCCAGGTGTGCTTGGGAGTTGCAGACAGGAAATTAGAGCATGAGTGGTAGGAGCAATAATGGCAGAGATTAGAGGATACAGAAGACATGGGTGTTATATTAGTTGAATGCAAGAAAAACTTAGATCTCTTTATTTCATACAGAGTTCTTTACCGGTTGCTGTAGTATGTGGTAAATATTTTTATTTAAATATTTCCAATAAACTGTTTAGGCAGGCTGTCAGGGCAAGATCCATCTCAACCCCTGCCTATTACACTGTCGAGGCTGAGCTCCTCTGCCAGGGGATGGACTTTCTTAGACGCCAGGTGATAGAAGTTGTGGATGTATATAAGAAAGCTTTTCTTATAGAAGCAAGTGGCCATAAAACCATCAGACAAAATAGTCCTTCACAGCAATGACCCATACAGGTAGCCGCACACTAGCTGATAAACCAAATACCAACATCAGTCTCTGCACCTGAATTCTCTGCCTCTGCAGCTTCTCCAACCTCCCCAGCCTTTCCTGTACTCTCACAGTAGCAGCAGCACACTGGCTGGTCTGTAACATATTATAACACTTGGATAAAAGAGGCCTCCTCCCAATAAATAGTTACATCAATCATTGTGGCTACAGCAAAGCACGTGTGCACAGTACACCATAACTGTCCTTGCACTTATTTATGGTATCTTATCTTGAACATTCTGATTAAGATTCCCATGTTCAGAGTGGCTTTGGCCATCTGGCATATTATCAACAAGGTCTTTCATGCTCTGAGTTGCCTTGATTGTCCTGTGACTCTGGCATGGTTCCCACACAGGCTAATTACTAGAACCTCAGGATATTTGGGCTAGAACCAATATCACCTATACAGAGATGGTACTAGAAAATAATTGCTTGGGCTAAAATTAACACTTGACTGGTATGAGCCCCCCAAATCTTTAATGGTAACTGTACTCTTATCCTTGGCAAGTGCTTTCCTATCCCCAAAATGGCAAAAGACCTGTAGACCTATAGCACTTTTCAATAACTTCCCTTTCATTTTTTTTCTCAGTAGTGAAAAAAAAAAGAGATTGGTATATTTAAATATGCATACTCACATAGGTATATACATATATGCACATGCCCAAATGCTGTGTCAATACTTATTGAATGCAGAACACTATGTGACAGGAAATAAGTACCAAGGGCAATTAAAAAAAGACACACCTAGCCCTAATCAGTTTGACTCATTGGATAGAGCATCGGCCTGCAGACTGAAGGGTCCCAGGTTCTATTCCAGTCAAGGGCATGTACCTTGGTTGTGGGCACATCCCCAGTAGGAGGTGTGCAGGAAGCAGCTGATCGATGTTTCTCTCTCATTGATGTTTCTGACTCTCTATCCCTCTCCTTTCCTCCCTGTAAAAAAAAAAATCAATAAAATATATTAAAAACAAAACAAAACACCGAATCTCTGCACACATAATAGTAACAGTCTAATGGACAATTTGTGATACACAGAAAGGTAAAAAAGTGATTTCTGTAGTGATAAAAGTCTCTTTCTCTTCCATAACATTTACATTTTTTTTTATTCTGTGTGCAAAACTAACGCATGTTCTTGCAAAAAATTTTGGGGAAAATAACCCATAATGCCAGTACTTAGAAATATATGTTAATATTTAAATATATACTTTTCCAGATTTGTTTTACCCATACTTACAAAATATGTCTTTAAAATAAAATTAGAGAAAGGATATATGCACCCCTATGTTCATAGCAGCACAATCTACAATAGCCAGAATTTGGAAACAGCCTAGGTGCCCGTCAGCAGATGATTGGATCCAAAAACGATGGTACATCTACACAATGGAATACTATGCTGCCATAAAGAAGAAGGAATTCTCATCATTTGCAGCAACCTGGATGGAATTGGAGAACATCATGCTGAGTGAAATAAGCCAATCAATGAAAGAGAAACACCACATGACCTCACTCATTTGTGGATAATAAAGAGCATTATAAACTGATGAACCAAAAGATAGATATAGAGACAGTAAAGCAACAAGCAGATTGTCAAATTACAACGGGGAGGGGAGGAGGATCTGGGGGAGATAATAGATCAACCGAAGGACTTGTATACATGCATATAAGTACAACCAATGGACATAAAACTATGGGGAGGGAGGGGATATGGGGGAGGGAGGGAGGGGGGCAAAAAAAATCATTAAAATATGTAAAAAAAATAAATTAATTAATTAAAAAATAAAAAATAAAAAATACATTTAAAGATTAAAAAAAATAAATTAAATAAAATAAAATTAGAATCATAAAACAAAATTAGAATCATATTATGTATCTCATCTAATAAATTGATTTTTCTTGATTGACAATATGTCATAAACATTTTCTATGTCATTAAACTAAAATAAACCATTTAATGGTGCTATAATATTCCATCCTGAATTATGCCATAATTTATTAACAAATACCCTAATACAAAACAATGTGCATATACTTAAGTTTTTCTCAAGTGTCAAATATCTAAGATATAAATAAGAAAACAAAAGTTACCTTTAATTCCACCATCCAGAAATAAACATTATTAATATTTTGGTGACTCTATAGCCAGACGTTTTTGTAGATATTATTATACATATTTTAAAAGGTGCCTACTAGCCCTGGCCAATGTGTCTCTCAGTTGGTTGGAGCATCATCCTGTACACCAAAAAGTGGTGGGTTTGGCCCTAACCAGTTTGTCTCAGTGGATAGAGTGTCAGCCTGAAGACTGAAAGGTCCCAGGTTCGATTCCAGTCAAGGGTATGTACCTTGGTTGCAGGCACATCCACAGTAAGAGGTGTGCAGGAGGCAACTGATTAATGTTTCTAACTCTCTATCCCTCTCCCTTCCTCTCTGTAAAAGAGCAATAAAATATTATTTTTTAAATGGTGGGTTCAATTTCTGTTCAGGGCAACCAATAGATCTCTCTCTCTCTCTCTCTCTCTCTCTCTCTCTCTCTCCCTCTCTAAGATAAAATTTTAAAAAGAGAAGCATACTATATTTGGTCACCAGCATTTTCATATTATAACATATTATAAATATCTCTCAATACCAATAAATATGGACAGACATAATCACCTTGAATTTCTGAAATACATTCACTGTACTGTAAGTTATATAACCAATACTATATTTCTGAATATTTAGATTGTTTCTATTTTGCATTGTTATTAACAACCATCTTTTGATGAATAGTCTTATATATAAAGCATTGTGCACTTATATAATTACTAGAGGCCCTGTGCACAAAATTCATGTATGGGAGTGTGGGGATGGTGTTGTCCCTGTAGTTTTCCAAGTCATCCTTACATTTTAAAATGTGAGCCAATTTAAAGAGAAAAATCACTGAGAGCAAGAGGATATAACAAAACTTTTGAATATTGTTTGGAATTAACTAGACTTGGCTAAATAATGACAGGGGGATTCTTGAGGTATATGCTTGGTAATTTAGTTGGGGCAGAAATTCTGAAGGGACAACCAAAATAAACTTTGTCTCTCTGGCAACTTTGCTCAGGGTAAGACCTATTTAATACTAACTACATTTATGTCACTTAGATTCCTCACCTTATCTTGTGTTGGCTTTGAGGTTATGTATTTAAAAGACAGTCAAACTGTATAATTTTAACTAATGGAAATTGACCAGTTCAGCTACACTGCTACCTGTCTGATATTCTATTGATTACTTTAGGCTTCTTGCTGAATCGAGTTCTGAGTCAAAGAAGAAGATAGGAAATCTAGTTGTGTCTTAGTATTATGATATTTTTGTCACTGTGTATAGTTTTTGTTGAAGATTTACTTCAAAACAGAATAAAAACCCAAGA